AAGGGAGCTCAAAGGACGCTGAAGGGGAGATCATTTTATGCAACTCTACTTCTGCTACAATAACGTTTATGTACCTTGATTTCCATCTGCGGGGTCCTTCCCTCTTTATTTTGCCTTTACACAGTACAATCCTCACTCCTGGCATATGTAAGATGCAGGAGATTGGATGTTCTATATGTGGGGTTGGGTGTGACCTCCTATGTGCACATGGGCATGAGAATGTGTGACCTCTAGTCCAGCTGCTAAATCTGAGATGAAGAGTCCAGCTGAAAACATTGTATGGCGCCGAGGTCTGTGAAGAGACGGAATAAGGTGTTGAGTAGGGCAGGGAAAACTGTGGTCAAAGAAATGTGACTCAGCCACCATTCGTTATGACCAAAGGACCACTTGTGGCCCTGTGATGTTTGTTGTGTTGCCCTTTAACTAGCAATTAATACTGTGTGTGCTGGGATTGTCACGGCGGTCTTTATCAGTCTCAAGTAACATGTACCCAATCTCCTACAGCAGGTCCTCAGTGTCCAACCACATGATCTCTGAATATTTCCTAAATGTTATTCTTATTCTATAGTAATACATGTACTAAACACGATGTGTGTCCCCGTGCTGACATCAGGGGACACAGTTGAGGTCCACCCCCCCACTATGTAAGCATTCTTAGTTGCACTTTAAAGCCTTCTGACTGGCTTCCGACTGGCCACCAAGGCATCAAATAGCCCTGCCTGGTCATATAATGGTTAAGGGTCGCTCCCATCCATATCTGATACTTCTATTTCGGCTAATTACTATGCAGTTGAATCACTAATTGGGTTCTTGTATTTCCAGAATTCTGTAGAATTTCTAATTTCTCATCATTTTCATGGTCCCTTCTAACAATAATGACATCACTCTCCCATCTCCAGATTCCACGTGTACTAGTATATTTTAATATAAGCACAGTCCATCAGGGGGAGTGTGACACCATCGCTTGACATTATGTCGGCTTTGGCTCTGACGCAGATACAGAAATGCTGTCAAATTTCAACAAAGGAGTCCACGAGAGATAAAAGAAGCCAACATGTAAAACAATCCAAAACTGGAATAGCAGTTGTGGTAGGTGTTGACCCTTGCTGGCTCTGGCTAATAGCTAAAGAGACCCTGTTGCCAGACCATTCAGCACCAATACAAATCTTCCCATAAGCATATATGTGTATTTAACATATTATAGATATAACATTTACCTGTAAAAGCCTCCCATGTATAGACATCCAAAAGCCCTGGGACTGCTGGTGGGAGCTGCCATCTTGGATGTGATGTCAGCATCTCCAGCAGGCTCTCACGTGACACCCTACAGTATTCTCATTTCCTCTTCTGGCAGCTATATTAAAGTGTATGTAGGAGGTAAGGAGAGGAGCTGGGCCAGCAGGGGAGATGACTATGATGTGTAAGAAGGGGAGGGGCTAGAGTTGCCACCTTTTCTTCAAGCAAAACCCGAACACTCTAGCGACACGCGGACATTTGTTTGGTGAGAAGGAGTCGTGACTTATTCCTACGTAAATAGCGTCGCCCATTCATATGTGAGTATCACAGTTGAGACTATTTTCAGTGGGGGGCCAGGAGCCCCTATCTCAATTTTGGTTGCCCTGTCTGTCTGACATCTTGTGTCCAGGTTCCTGCTGCCATGAAACGCGGACACAGCATTCAAAACCCGGATTGTCCGGGTAAATCCTGGACAGGTGGCAACCCTAGGAGGGGCTGTGCTGGGAAACTGACTCTTCCTAGAGCAGTCAAATGCCACAGCAGGGCACATTGGAAGTGGATAAACAATCATTATGTATAGGAAAATTGCAACCAGTAGGCATTGGTGGCAGGCTCCCTTTAATCCCCACACCGAGACCTTGGTTCTGTTGTAGGAAATTGCACTCCTTTGCACAAAATAATCTTTATCCAGCAGTAAATTGCCATTAAAATGTTTTCCTTTTTAACCTCTCGAAAGGGGTTTTCATCAGGTTATTTGATTTGCTTCTTTGTTAACACTCAGCAATGGCTTGTTAGCTTGGTTTACCCAATTACGATATGCAGAGAGCCACGGGGATGCAATAACCCATAGCAACCAGATAGCAGCATCACCAGAGTAAAAGATAAATGCTGATTGGCTGTTGTGGGTTACAACAGCCAATCAGCATGTTGAACTGTTCTTTGCCTCCTTTACCTTTGCACAGTATAAGCCCCAGTGCATTTCATCCCTGCACTGGCCAACCATGCATCCACCTCTCCCATGCAGCAGCAGCAGCCGCCAGTGTGCTCTGTACAGAGCTGCTGAGTGAGAAGCACAGCTGTCAGATCTCCCAACAGTGCATGCCGTTGCTACATCTAAAAGTCAACCTTCCAACAGTGCATGTAGTTGTCACATCTCAGTGTCACCCTCCCAACAGTGCATGCCGTTGCTGCATCTAAAAGTCAACCTTCCAACAGTGCATGTAGGTGTCACATCTCAGTTTTATCCTCCCAACAGTGCACATAGTTGACACATCTCAGTGTTATCCTCCCAACAGTGCATGTAGTTGTCACATCACAGTGTCATCTTCCCAACAGTGCACATAGTTGTCACATCTCAGTGTCACCCTCCCAACAGTGCATGCCGTTGCTACATCTAAAAGTCAACCTTCCAACAGTGCATGTAGGTGTCACATCACAGTGTCATCTTCCCAACAGTGCATGTAGTTGTCACAGCTCAGTGTTATCCTCCCAACAGTGCATGCCGTTGCTACATCTAAAAGTCATCCTCCCAACAGTGCATGTAGTTGTTACATCTCAGTATTATCCTTCCAACAGTGCATGTAGTTGTCACTTGTCACATCTCAGTGTCACCCTCCCAACAGTGCATGCCGTTGCTACATCTAAAAGTCAACCTTCCAACAGTGCATGTAGTTGTCACATCTCAGTGTTATACTCGCAACAGTGTATGTAGTTGCCACATCTCAGTGTCATCCACCCAACAGTGTATGTAGTTGCCACATCTCAGTGTCATCCACCCAACAGTGTATGTAGTTGTCACATCTCAGTGTCATCCACCCAACAGTGCATGTAGTGATGGTGCTGCCAGAGCCCCACATGAGCAGGCGGCTGGATAGCAGCTGGCTGCTTTAACCCCTTCACAACTCCCAACCAAACCCTTTTATCTGTTATCAGCCCCTTCATAATTAGTGCTCCGGCTGCCTCATTTAACCCTTTCTACCACCGTTTAGAGCATTTACCCTTTAACCCCCTCCAAGCCTGTACCCTTTATCCTTTAGCAGCTTCCCTCTCCTTTCCATTGTTCTATCAGCGGAGCTGCTTCTCTGTTACAGTCTTTGGTTAACCCATACAGTCCTAATATATCCCTTTCTCCTAAGTATCCTTCTACTATAGTGCATATTATTCAGCGATCAACCCATTATCTTTTTATTTTAATCTATTGTATCCCTTCCTTTATTGCTCCGAACCCCTCACCTATTTAAGACTTAAACAATGAACCCCTTCCCCCTGTGGGGTGACAGTCTACTCCCTTTTGCTCTAGTTTTCCTTGCTGGATTGTCAATGGATCTAGTTCTAGCAGTCACCCTCTTCTTTTCCAATCTATAGTCCCAGCTGCACAATACTTAACCCCTTCCAGTTCTGGGTTTTAACCCCACCTCTTTTAACCCCTTTTGCCTCATGCCTAGGAGTTAACCCCTTCTGTTCCCCATTTGCTTTCTTGTCTTCTGGAACCCTTAAACCTTCTGTTCTGAAATGATATCAATGCTCAGCCCGTTATCCTTCCTTCCTTTCTCTGCATTTAACCCCTTCCCTTTTTCCCCGCTCTGGATTCATCCTCAGGGACACCTGACCCTTTCTGTTCCTAGATTGCATGGCTCTCCTTTCAAGAATTAACCCCTCATCTCCCCTCAATCCTGCTGTCGCCCTTAACCCTCTCCAGCCCCCCTTAGTTTCTCCTTCTACATCCTTTAACTCTTACACTATTAGGACTGCATGCCTTGCCATTAACCCTTGAGATTGTTGGATCTTGTTGTGCAAATCCCTTACTGAATTAACTCTTTGTGTTTCACACATGCCAACCCACACTGCCTGAACCCCTACATGACACGGTTAGAAAAGGTAATCATTTTGCTTCTGGCTATCTCACCACCAGCCCCCAATCCACCTAAACTTAATCCTTTATCCAAAGTCCTTCCTCTGCATTGTGTACACGGGATCCTTCTCTTCTATATCCCACTATTTGCTATCAATGCCACTATCTATTTGCTATCTGGACTGGTCCACTATCTATTTGCTCAGCATCCTCTTTCTTGACAGCTGTATACAAAGTATAAGGTATCCATTGATACAACATCATATTTACAATGTTCAAATATAGATAGATATATACAGCACATATTTAATAGGTGTAGATGTAGAATATAGAGGCACCGACTGGGACAATAATAGCACCACAAAACACACACACACACAATAAAAAAATCTACTAATTTATAGAGAAAGACAACACAAGACAGCACAGAGGTCTGATTAATACTTAGATTTGTCTAAGCGGTCGTTTTCCAGCCCTTGTGCTCGTTTGTTCGGGGAGAGAAGGACACAATCACACGCTTAGACCTGGGGAGCCGTCCCATTGACTCCAGCTTCTGTTTATTACAAGATCAAAAATAGGAGGAATAAAAAAAAAATAGGAAAAAAAATACAAGAAAAAAAAAAGGAATGTCCATAGAAAAAAAAAAAAAAAAGAGGGTTGATCATAATTGCACACACAAAAAAAACCCTGGAAATTCAGATAGGGGAAAGAAGGATCTTGCAGCAAAATGTAAAGCTTGCATGGCCCCCTGCTCACTGAGCACAATGGAGATTGAATAGCTTATATTTCTAGGCAGGGGCTGCTTGGAAGGTACCAACGAGTCTGGGCTGATAGGCTCTTTGCTGTGTGCCTAGAGAAAGAAGACACGCCAACCCAACACCCACCCCCCCTCAGTCTGCCTGGAACTTGAGCTGCTCCTGCCTGTTTAAACGGAAAGGACACAGATCCTGTCTGTTCAATGTATAAAAAAAAATCCCAATCAGAGCAGGCTGAGAGAGGGGGAGGCAGAGAGTGTGTATGTGTGCCAGAGAGAGAAACACCGTGTCAGAGAGAGAAAAGCCAACAGGATCCTCTATGTATATAAAGATGGCCACGTTAGCTAATGGACAAGCAGACAACATCAGCCTGAACAGCAATCACAGCAACAACCCCAACACCAACGGGCACATGAACGGATTAAACCACAGTCCCGGGAGCACTTCCACCATCCCCATGAAGGACCACGATGCCATCAAGCTCTTCATTGGGCAGATCCCTCGCAATCTGGACGAGAAGGACCTGAAGCCTCTCTTTGAGGAGTTCGGCAAGATCTATGAGCTGACAGTGTTGAAGGACAGGTTCACGGGCATGCACAAAGGTCAGCCCCCGTCTCCTTAACTTTCTGCTTGGCACATGTGGTCGGGGAGGGCAAGCTGGGGGTTGCTTGGAAAAATGTTTTTTTGTGGAGGGTGGTGGGAAGCTTATAGAGAGAACATCGGTTTAGGAAAGGGTAAGGAGCTGTTCCGGCAGCTTGGTGCTGAACTACTACTACTACCTGCCTATCATGCCTGTAACTTTTGGGTTAGGGTGAGGGATAGGAGCTGTCCTGTGCTCCAGTGCTGAGGAGGGAGCAGGCAGCA